ATCAATGTCCTATTAATAGCAATTCCAGCTTTTTAAAAAACCTCCCAGTTTATCCATATAATCACAGATCAAATTTTGAATATATAACCAAGTGCTCCAATTTTATTTAAAACTTAAGTATGAAAATACCAGTGAATTCAACAAACAAATGGAATGAGATTCTTGTACTAGTTAATCAGTAAAAGAAATAAGGAAAAGAAAGAGGAAAAACTTCTGGATAAAAATTCCTAAGATAACTGTTGTTCATTCTTGATGTGCTGACTGGAGATAATCTTTGGAAAAAGTTACCTAACTAAAAATGTGATGTATGCTAAAAAATACTTGGTGTCTCGAAAAAAAATGTTTCAAAATGAGATTTCTAAGGTAGCCAATCAAGTATGTCATGCTTGCTTCTTTTTCCCCTTCCATAATTATCATCTATGAAATCCATTCCTTAAAAAAACTTTTAACTCCTGAATTTAGTAATCTGAACTCATATAAAACATAAAGCCACTTTAATCACTATGGTACAATGTTGACATCTCAGAAGTATTACTACCTAGTACTCGACTCTTGGGAGAATGGAGCAGCATACAGAGACACTTCCTCACTGTAGTAATTGTTGGTATCTTTTTAAAGTTATATAATCTTTTGACAGGCTAACAACTATTTTTACATATTAAAGGCAATGGTGTAGTGTCTGCTATTAAGATTTTTGCTGTCCTCCCCTAACCTAGTAGCTCAGTTGGTTAGAGCATTGTCCTGATACACCACGGGTTCGATCCCAGTCATGGCACATACAGGAATCAACCAATGAATGCATGAATAAGTGGAACAACAACTCTCTCTCTCTTCCCCTACTCCTCTCTCTCAAATCAATAAATAAAAATTTAAAAGATTTTCGTTGTTCAATTTTAATAGAAAAGAAAAACATTTCAGCTTGATTATCAATGACACTATACTTCGTAGCAAAAACTGACTTATCAGCAACAAAGCACCTGTTGTATAGGAAGTTCAAATATTGAATACATTTCTCTCTTCAAAGTATAGTACTAAGTAAAAGAATCTGTAACATAGTTTTAGTTAAAAAAAATTATACTTTAAAGAAAAAGGCAGGATGTACTGCTTTCAAAAGAGCTTGAAGAGAGTTTGAATGATTCAAACTTTCCTCTAATAAAATGCCACAACAAAAGGTTTGTCTTTTTATATGTAGGGAAAAAAACAATTAATAGGTTTTTTGGTTACAAACCTACAACTTTAAAGGTTCCCATTATCTCACTCTGGTGAGTTTTATTTTGTTCTGACGTGCCACTGTAAACATTCAGAGAGAAAAATGAAATTAGTTCTAAGTTCTCTACTTTAAGAAATTATTTTATACGTGACCCTAAGATACGAAAATTTTTAAGTTGTTTTAAACAGAAAGCTATCAAATTCTAAAAAGTTATTTAGTTCCTAGACTTCCCTAGTCCATTTAACCCTCCTTCAGAGCTTTTTAAGCTCTAATTTGTTAGAGCTTTCAGCCCCAATTCCAGTCTTGCAAGTAAAATAAAATGCAGTCTATTTTAACTATTTGTACTCAATAGTGAGGTGAAGGCAAAGACTGAAACATAAATTAGACTTGGGAGTCACTGCAGATTTCAAATAGCCGAATTTATCCCTCTATTAAGAGGATAAAAAAGGGTACATACACAAAACTTGTACAAAAATGTTTACAGAAGCATTATTCATAAAGGCCAAAAATATCAAACAAGGCTATGTTCTCAAAGCTCAGTTAACAGAAAACAAAAGATAACTTTGAAATGTTAGTAAGTTAAACTTCCAAACACATTCATGCATCAAAAAGTATGCAAAACAGCCCTGGCTGTGTAGCTCAGTTGGTTAGAGTGTTATCCCGATACACTATGGTTACCGGTTCGATCCCTGGGTCAGAGAAGATACAAAAAAAACAACCAATGAATGCCCAAGTAAGTGGAACAACAAAATCAATGTCTGTCTGTCTGTCTGTCTGTCTCTCTCTCTCTCTCCCTCAAATCAAGAAATAAAATTTTTAAAAATATATTTTAAAATGTGCAAAACATTTTAAGACTGTCATTTTAAATGATTCTTTTAAAATTTTATAAATTGCCATTGTAAAGCCTAAAGTGTGATAGGCTGATACGCTAAACCAAAAATTCACATGGAAATGAAAGGAACCCAGAATAGCCAAAATAGCCTTCAGAAAAAATAACAAAGTCGGAGGATTCATACTCCTGATCCCAAACTTACTACTAAAGCTACCATAATCAAAACAATGCAGTGCTAATACAAGGATAGACAATGGAATATAACTATAAATCCAGAAATAAACCCATACATCTATGGCCAGCTGTTTTTCAACAAGGATACCAACACTATTAAAAAGAAAAAAGAAGAGCCTTTTCAAGAAACGGTGCTGGGACTAGATATTCACCTGCAAAAGAATGAAATTTTATCTCTTCCTCACACCACACACAAAAATTAACTTCACATGGATCATAGGCCTAAATGTAAGAACTAATGCTACAAAACGCACAGAAGAGAACAACAGAAGTAAATCTCTGAGACCTTGGGAAGCATATGTGATCTTGTTCCTCAGCATATGTTGTAAGTTTGGCTGAAATAAACTCTTAAATAAATTCACCCCCCAAAAAATCTTTGTGACCTCGGTGTAGGAAAGACTTCTTAAATAAACAAAAGCATAACAGAAAAATCAGATAAATTGGACTTCAACAAGACTTCATCAAAATTAAAGACATCTGTGCTTCAAAGTACACCATCAAGAAAATGAAAAAGACAACCCAAAGAATGAAAGTATTTACAAAGTCACATGTCTGATAAGAGACATATACCCAGACTATAAAAAGAAGTCTTACAACTCAATCATAAAAAGACAAACCAATCTAAAAATGGGCAATGAATCTAAACAGACATTTGCCAAAGAAAATACATAAATGGGCAATAAGCACATGAAAAGATGTTCAACATCATTTGCCACCACAGAAATGCAAATCAAAACCACAACGAGATCCTACTTCATACCCATCCACTCTCATACCAGTGTGGGTGCAGTCCTGCAAAGCAGAGGGTCACCGGTTCAATTCTGGCCAGGTTGCAGGTTCATCCCAGGTCTGGGTGTGTGTACAGGAGGCAACCGAATGATATTTCTCTCTCACATAGATGTTTCTCTCTCTCACTCTTTCTCCCTCCCTTCCCCTCTCTCTAAAAACAAATAAATAAAATCTTAAAAAAAAAACAAAAAAAAAAACGAGATAACAAGTGTTGTCCAGCATGCGGAAAAATTGGAACCCTCAGACACTGGGAGTGGAATTGTAAAATGGTTCTGCCACTCTGGAAAACAGTTAGGCGGTTCCTTGAAATGTTAAACAGAGAATTATCAGACAACCCAGCAATTCCATTCCCTAAAGAAATGAAGACAGGTACACATGAAAACTTGCACAAAAATGATCACAGCAGCATTATTCATAATAGTCAAAAAGTGGAAACCAGTAAATGTCCATCACTGGAGATGGATAAATAAAACGATGCACACACAATGGAATATTTAGTCATAAAATGGAATTAAGTACTGATACATGCTTGTGACATCACGGATGAACACTGGAAACATGCTAAGTGAGAAAAGCCAGTCACAAACGACCACATACATGATCCCATTTATTTAATATATTCAGAACAGACAAATCTACAGAGACAGAAATCTATAGATTGGCTGCCTAGGGCTGAGGTAGGAGGGAAATATGGAGTAATTGCTCCCCATTTAGATTGATAGAGATTCTTTCTGAGGTGCTAAAATTGTTCTATAATGGACTGTGTTGACGTCTGCACAACTCTATGAACATACAAAAAAATCCCTGAATTGTACTTTTAAATAGGTGTATTGTATGGTATATGAATTGTACGTCAATGAAGCTATTTTTTTTAAAAAAGAAAAACGTAATACCTAGTATTTATGTTGCTTGTGGAAAACAAGGAACATACAAAACAAGTAACTATGAACTGATTTAATTACAAGTTCATGCCTGAGACACTTAGAAATAAGAATGTAAGGCACAATCCTAGTCACTGAAACATTGCTCCTTTAAATATTTTTAAATCTTACCATGGATTTGTAGTATTTGCAACTGTCAAGGCACAAAATGATATTCATCCAAGATACCTGAGTAAACATATTACTTTCCTGTACATGACTGAACTGTACTTCCCATGACAATAAACAATAACTACAGCAGAGCACCACAGGGAGAGTGAGAAGTCATTCTCGAATAACAATCTAATACTAATAATGAGTTAAGAGGAGGGGTGTGGAAAGAATGAGGAAGGGGAAGGAGCACAGGGACGAGGGGAAGTCTCGGTGCACTTAAGCCCCAAGAATCCTGTTACGTTAAATTCAACTTTTATATGCTTTGTGAACAGGCCCAGAGGCAAAGTCCTGGGCGCAGACCTTCGAGCCGAACTGCGAAGCCGAGAGGAAGTGCTGATCCGGCCCCAGCACGGAATTTCGTGTGAAAATGGTGGGGGGCTAAAGGGCTTAGATGGGGGCCTGCCGCGCGGGAAGGAGGCGAGCCCCCTCCACCTGGCTGGGGCCCGCGCTCGCCCGCAGCGCGCAGCTGAAGGCGGCCGCGCCGCGGGCCCTTCGTGCGCGTCCGAGCCGCCGAGCGTGCCCGGCGCCCGGAGCCTACGGGGCCGGATCCCGACTCCCGCCCCATTCGCGCTTTGTCCCAGCGCGGGCGGCAGGCTGTCCTCGGCGTCCCCGCCACGGGTTGAGGGGCCGCGCTGACAACCCCCGACCCCCGCAAGGGCTGCGGGACTGCGAGTCCGGGCGGCAGCCGACCCGTCGCCCGCCGGGCTTTATCCAAGGCGGAACCCAGCAGGCGGCGGTTCGAGGACGCTCGCCCTGTCCGGGAAGCCGCTGCCGCCACAGCCCCAAGCGCAGAAAGCCTTGGATTCCGAAACCCACACAATTTCCAACATCCTCCTCTTACCCAAAAATTCTCGACGAAATGCGCCATGACCATCCTGCCGCCGCCGCCGCCGCGCCGGGTTCTGCGTCCGCGCCCGCCCGCCGCTGTGTAAACACCGGCCCGGCCCCCACGGCGCCCCCGCCTTTCACCGCCACCGCCTTCTTCCCAGAGTCCAGCCCGTACCCTCCAGGGCGCATGCGCCACCTAGCGGCTGCGGCGACCGGACCAACACTTAACGCTGCCTTGTGCGCGCATGCGTCCGAGGTCTCATTCCCGGGTTTTAGTGGCCTTCTCTCTCTAGCCCGGGCGGAGTTAGATTGAGTATTTTCTTGGGAATGGTGGAGAACCGGATCCCTGAGGAGTCATCGGGGAGGGTCTCCGCACCCTCTACGGTGCGATGAGGACTGGGCCAGGGACTGAGCTAAGAGAGGGGCCAGCTAGCGGCAGTTGAGCCCGTAGCCTGGATGCCAGTTCAGCTCGTTCTCACAAGACTCGTTTCCCCCTCCTTCGAGGATCCGAACGGATCCCGAGTCTGGGCAGGCTGGGATAGGGGAAACTTGGCCTCTAGCCACCTGGAGGAGACTCTGAGAAACCTTTGGTCAACAGGGTGCCTTTCCGTCACAGGGCACTAAGAACCAAAACAAAACTTTCCGAGGCCGGAAAAGGAGGAAACGCCCAGCGTCGCCAGAGAGTCAGTGGAGCTGCGCGAGACCCAAGCACCGATTCCATGACCTCTAGCACGCCCGGAGCAAACTAGCCAGGATGGCCAACAGCAGGAACAAGACCCGAAACGAACAAATTTCCCTGACCCAGTCGGGGGCGGGGTGGGGGGGGGGGGGGGTTGGGGGGGGGGTGGGTGGGTGTGTGTGTGTGAAGTCTCTAACAGAACTTGTTCCTGTGAGTCCATGGCTCTCTTAGCAACTTTAACATTCTGGAAAAAAGAAACAAGTTTGAACATGCCTCAGCATGACAGAAAAACTAAATCCCCTTCCCATGCCTTGCTTTCCAAAAGCTAAGCGAAAAAAATTAAGCTCGAGAGGTCTCAAGTTCATTGTCACCAGGTCAGCAGCTCTTGAAGCCAAGTCCACAAACAGATTTAGTGTAGTTTTAACTGTACAAACACATCACACCTCCTCAGATCTTGTAACTTCAAACATAATGAACACAACACTGTTTCTTCATTGAAATTTATTTTCATCCTCAAAAGTAATAGCCACATGGTGCCTTTCACATGGATGAAACTGGAGTGTTTGTTGAATTGGGAATAATTAGATAATGGTATTGTCATATCTTTTTAAGAATATATTTTAGAAATATATAGTATATAATGATAACACATCTAGAATTTTCTCATAACTTCATTGAGGGAGGGGGAATGAATAGGAGTACAAATGAAACATGATTGACCATGAGTTGTCCATTATTGGAGCTAAGTAAGGGAAACATGGTGGTTCAATATACTGTTCTCTTTTTGTATATGTTTGATATTTCTTTCCTTTAGAAAGTCTTCATAACATTGTCATTAACACCTAGTTTTTGGGAAAGTCACACTTAGAAATATGTTACAATTCTCTAAGCCATTAGTCTAGCACTATCTTTCATAATGCCAAAAAAAATCTGGAAAAAAAATACAACCATCTAGATCTCCATGCAACTGAGATTGGCATTAAATTCCCAGTATCACTAAGCATTAATATTCTTAGAGCTGGGCAGGAGGTGCCCCTATCTTGGACCCCATGCTTCCAAAGAACTTACCTATCACAAATGTATATATTAATTTATTTTAAAAACATATAGGTGCCTCTGCCACTCCTATTCTAATGTGGAATACTTGCCTACAATCATAAATATCCTCTCCATGATCAACACTATTTGGCCCCAGGGAAAAACTTCTTATCTCTTGCCCTGTGTCTTTAAAACAAAAAGTGGACTCTAAATACAGTGAAAATTTCTGGGTACTATAGCTGCCCTTTTCAGAAATAAACTGCTGTGGAGTTCAGGCAAAATTTGAGTAGCAGAAGTGCTTAGGTCAAAAAAAGACAAAAAAAGACATAGTTAACTTGTGGAATCCTTTCAGCTTGAATGCAATAGATTCTTGAAAAGTATTGTTTTGCACAACAAAGCAGTGTGAAGCACAAATTTTCCTTCTCTTGGTTTTCTTATTTGTGCTACCAACACTTAATATTTACCATAATTTATATTCAAATGGTTGCACAGGATATGCTGGCCTCGATTTGTACTCTTACCTCTGATCCTATAAATGTTACAGGCAGGCCTGCCACAGAGATAAATATCCTGTGTATTTTTGTTATTTGCAGGGTTTATTTTATAGTAAATGTTGATTAAGTTTACGAATTTCAGGCAGGTTAGCGTAGCAGAAGAAGAATGTGAGTGGTATCAGCCACCTTCTGTCCTCTCAAGTGAGGTTTCAAGGGTTGCACATATACTCTGGCAGAACATAGATAAGGCCCTAAGTGGGTAACTCATTCATATGCATTGAAGTATTTGTGCCACACACAATTACCCTTGCTTATCCAAACAGATTCTGGAATTTAAAAACTGACATAGATAACAGCAGTGGTCCTTCCACTTACTGCCTATAACACTTTCTGTAATACCTGGCACTGAATAGTCACTCAGTAAATGTTCAGTGAAAGAATGGATGAACAAATGAACCTATTATAGAAATGTCCATGTGCAGGAGACTTTGGATATGCAATAAGTCTATTCTTCTTTTACTCATATTCTTAATTGGTGCTAGATCTTAGAACCTATAATAAATGTCATTATTTAAGTTCTACTTGATTTAATTTTCTCACATGACTTTAAATATTTTCAAAAGAGTTCTTTTGAGCTTGAGTATACTTTATAAAGGATAAGCTGCTTTTTGTAATAAAAATAAAATAAAACTGAAATAATAATATTCAAGATTGGCTCTAGCAAATCTTCTATTGGAAGGGACCCCTGAACAATTTTGTTTTTAAATTTTGGGTGCATGCACCATCAGATTCATCTTCCTCTTAGGATCTCTTACTAGTTATACCTGCCATCAACATGTTGGCTTCCAGAGAATGCTGTTGGTCTGTTAAACTGTGGCCCAAGCATGCATATTATAGCACAAATCATACCTGGACTGCTGAAACATAACTTGACTAGTAGCAAATAAGAGAAGAGAAATTACCACAGAATATCATAAATCAGCTCTGGCTGGTGTGGCTCAGTGGACTGAGTGCCTGCCTGTGAACTGAAGGGTTGCTGGTTAGATTCCCAGTCAGGGCACAGGCCTGAGTTGCAGGCCAGGTCCCCAGTTGGGGGCGTGTGAGAGGCAACCAATCCACTTCTTTCCCACACATTGATGTTTCTCTTTCTCTCTTTCTCCCTCCCTTCCCCTCTCTCTAAAAATAAATAAATAAAATCTTTTTTTTAAAAAAAGGTAAATGTAAATTCTCTAGTTTACAAAACATGGCTTGTCTCCAAGATTTGAGGGGTAGGCACTCACAGAACTTCCCCCTTTTCATTCCTTAGTTTGATTTTCTATTTGCAATCCTGGGTTTAGCTCACAGCACATTAATGAACATTTAGTTACAAAGGTCATTTCCTCATTACTTCATTAAAAACTAGTTCTATTCTGGAAGAGTTGGCAATAAGCAAAACGTTTTTTAAATTTTCAATAATATAATTTTGAACGTTTTAAATATAATTTTGCTAATATACTCCTACTTGTTTCCAGGATGAGCATCGCAGAAGAGAAGCTGCTGTAAACCTCTCCTTTTCCCTGCTAATTTTTCGAGGGGCAGCATCCTGTGTCAGACACAGTAGCCCTTCTCTGTGCTCATCTTGCACTTGAAAATAACAAGTGGCGAAAGAGCTAAGCTCCACTGAAAGGCAGAAGAGAAATAGGCAGATCCCTGAAGTCTGTTGTTCTCTTGTTTTTCCCTCCTCAATAGCAGCACTTTGAAAACAAAAGCTCTACGCAGAACAGAAAGAAAAGCAAAAATTTTGCAGGTGGTATACAGGCAGGCAAGGAGACAGGAACAAGTTAATCAAACCGCAGAATGGAGCTAAATACCACCCTCCACACACTCTTCTCAGCTCAGAGCAGCTTGCTAGACACACCTTTCTTCTCTCCTGAGTGCACCTGGGGTTGACTGTGTGTTCCCTGGTGCAGCATCATTTCTTCCTCCAGAATGTGATGTACTTTACCAGTGACTCTCTTACCTTTCTGTCCGTGAAAGAAGTACATAAACACCTACAAATGTTCAGGGGGGTTAATTACACTGCTAGTGACCACAGGGAACCCAAGAGGGGTCTCAAAAATAAGAAAAGAAAAATTACTAAATTACAGAAAGTCATAAAGGTGACGATAATGTAAAAACATACAAAAATGTTTGCCATTGAATTAAGTAGAAAGGCAGAAGATGACATAGAAAATGCATTAAAATTACAAATATGTAAAAATATGCATGTAAATAAATAGAGAAAAAAATTAAAAATATGGAAAAATGTGTTAGGGTTGTGAGATTATGATAATTATAAACATTTAAAATTTATTTTAATGTAATAACATAGTAAGATTTAAAGAGTAGTCACTGTTCTTTGTTTTTGTTTGAATATAAATGTAACTGAGCCAGATCTTTCTTAACACTTTCATTAACTCCTCTCTTTCATTTATTCAGGCAATAGGCAATTATTGATCCCTAAAGCAATGAAAGGACTGTCTCTGCTCTTAAGAAGTTAAAAATCTAGTATAGACCCATAATGAAGAAGACAACAGAGATGGTAATTACAAAATAATGTGCCTACAAGAAACCTGGCATATAGTTAGTGATGAATAAACATTTATTAAATGAAAAAATGAATGAATCACTATTCTGAAGGATAACCTAAACCTCAAAGAATCAGTTTGTGTTCTCTCTCTTTCTCTCTCTTCCTCCCTCTGTCGCTCTTCCTTCCTTCCTTCCTTTCCTTCCCTCCCCCCTTCCTTCCTTCCTCTCTCTCTGTCTCTCTCTCTCTCTCTCTCTGTCTCTCTCTCGGAAACTACCCTAGATTCGCTGGGAGTTTCTTCCATCAGTAGAGTGATTTGAGGGTCCATGAGGTAGAGTGAACTCCAGAGCAACTTCTGAAACTCAGTGCTATTTTTAGGACCAGCTAACTCCCTAGGACTATTAATTAATTGGAAAAAATAACTACAATTGCATGTGTAACTTTAGTTCTGCATGGTAAAAGCATCTTTTTTGTATTATTTCACTGAGTTCTCACTACTA